CCCCAAAACCCCAAAACCCCAAAACCCCGAGTCCCTCTAAAATTTGATGTAATATTATAATAGTATTTTAATAAAAGCAATAATAATTACAATAATTATAATGGGATAGTGTTTTACATGTTTATCTGACATGGTAAAGAAAAATGATTAGAATGCACCTGAAGTGGATTAGAGTAAAAAGTCCTTACTAGCTACAGACAGTAAATAAACTATGGTTCTTTAATAGTCTTTAAACTTTATTATGTATAGAATACGGATTAAATAATAGTGCAGATCATTACTCCAATGAGATTAATAAATAAGATTTCAAGATACTCAAGGTGATCGGAAGAGGTTCGTTTGGGAAGGTATATCTTGTGCAGAAGAAAGATACTGAAAAGCTTTATGCTATGAAGACTCTGAAGAAAGATGTTACAATATAGTCTTCTACGTATTAAAGCACAAAAGGTATGCAAAAAATGGAACATGATTGTCTAATATGTTTTTGTAGCTGAAAGAGAGATATTAGAGAAAATTAATCATCCCTTTATTGTGAAACTTCACTTTGCCTTCTAGACACCTTAGAAGCTATACTTTATAATGGACTTTTTAAATGGAGGAGAGCTATTTTATCATCTGAAAAGAGAGGGTAGATTTACTGAGTAAAGAACTGTCTTTTATGCAGCCGAAATACTTTTAGCCTTGGAGTGTTTACATAAAAATGGAATAATTTATCGTGATTTAAAACCAGAGAATGTCCTACTTGACTCAGAGGGTCATATTAAGCTGACTGATTTCGGCTTGAGTAAACAAGGGGTCATTGGAAATCGAAATACTTATACTTTTTGTGGAACTCCAGAGTATCTGGCACCTGAGATTGTCAAAGGAAAAGGGCATAACAAAGCTGTTGATTGGTGGAGTTTGGTAAGAATAGTTTCATATTATTAAAGCTATCATTCTAATATTATTTTATAGGGTCTTATGATATATGAAATGCTATCAGGTATAAACCCATTTAAAGTAAGAAACAAGAACAAGTTTGAGAAACTACAGATGATATTGGAGGATAGTATTGATATGCAACCGCAATTTTCTGAAGATGCTTGTTCCCTAATACAAGGATTATTAACCAAAAAGGTAAACAATTTCAAAATCTAATTTTTTATAGCCGAAAGATAGATTAGGCTATAATGGCAGTGATGAGATAAAAGAGCATCCATTCTTCTCAGGTGTTGATTGGAATAAAATGCTGAGAAAAGTTATAGAACCGCCTTATAAGCCAAGAATTCAGGGTGATTATGATCTCAGCAATATTGATAGGGTAAGATTTATACACAAATGCTAACATAAAATTAATAGGTGTTCACTCGAGAACCAGCCTAAGAAACACCTGAAGAGTACAATAATAAGTACTTAAAGGACGTTAAATTTGAAAACTTTACCTACGTTCAAGAGAGTAACCTTAATACATCGTTCAATTGAATATAATCATCATCTCATCGATCTCTATAAAATTTGATATGAATCATTTAGTAATGCTTATGCAGTATATCTGTCTAATGGGGTTTTGGGGTTTTGGGG